TCAAGACGCTCTCTTTTTCGGGTGGGAAAGAATTAGCGGGGAACTCCCAAGCAGAGAAATCTCAAAGCATGCACGTGTAAAGTGATACCTAACACTGGTGCTCTTGCCACATGGCGGCAGACGTACCGTGAGAATTTATGCGCATAATAGCCCTCTTTAATTTTTCAGTAGTACTACAAATACCAATTTAATAAATATTAATGTTACGTGAAAGTGTGACAGCATTTTAGTCCGTGGGAATTAGAATACGGGAAGTTTAATTTTTCTGATATAATACTATAAAAAAATACAAGCGGAATCAATAAGACAAATAATTGGTGAAGACTTTCAGTTTTAATTTCATTTTTTTTAATTAGAAAATACATAATTCAAATGAATAAATAGTAAGAATGAGTAGTAAATTAATAAAAACTTTTACTGAATGACGCAACATTCATCGGACTCAGTAACTCCTATATAAAATAAATAAAATAAACATTTTTCAATTGTAGAATAAGAAATACAGTAGAACCCTGAAAATCCAAATTTCTCAAAAAATGCTTATCAAAAGCATCGTGATCTATTGAAAACAAATCCCAGGTCATTAATTAGAAAATATGAATTTTAATTAAAAGTGCAGACCATGCAAAATCTGACTATCAAACGATTTCTCATAATTTCTTCGAGAACTTGAGTTAGGAAAAAGTATAACTCGAAAATAATAATAATATAAGAAATTTTCGCCACCACCTGAAATTGATAATCATCAGGTTCGACCCGAGTAAGACTGGGCCCTATTATATATGGACGTCGATTTTTTTTATTATGTGAATTTGCAAAGGAGAATTTTTTTTTAAAGGAAATATTCTATGAGTTGTTACTCTCTTGGTGTTCTTAGTGTCAGATAGACTGTGACAAATTCTGTCAATTTGTGAGACTCAAGACGCTCTCTTTTTTGGGTGGGAAAGAATTAGCGGGGAACTCCCAAGCAGAGAAATCTCAAAGCATGCACGTGTAAAATGATACCTAACACTGGTGCTCTTGTCACATGGCAGCAGACGTACCGTGAGAATTTATGCGCAGAATAGCCCTCTTATAATTTTTCAGTAGTACTACAAATACTAATTTAATAAATATTAATGTTACGTGAAAGTGTGACAGCATTTTAGTCCGTGGAAATTAGAATACGGGAAGTTTAATTTTTCAGATATAATACTATAAAAAAACACAAGCGGAATCAATAAGACAAATAATTGGTGAAGACTTCCAGTTTTAATTTCATTTTTTCAATTAGAAAATACATTGTTCAAATGAATAAATCGTAAGAATGAGTAATAAATTAATAAAAACTTTTACTGAATGACGCAACATTCATCGGACTCAGTAACTCCTATATAAAATAAATAAAATAAACATTTTTCAATTGTAGAATAAGAAATGCAGTAGAACCCTGAAAATCCAAATTTCTCAAAAAATGCTTATCAAAAGTATCGTGATCTATTGAAAACAAATCCCAGGTCAATAATTAAAATATATGAATTTTAATGAAAGTGCAGACCATACAAAATTAACAAATTCTCGCCATACAAAATTAACAAATTCTCGCCATACAAAATTAACAAATTCTATAAAACAAATTCTCGCAATTTCTTCGAGAACTTGAGTTAGGAAAAAGTCAAAAATAATAATAATAAAAGAAATTTTCGCCAGGATCTGAAATCGATAATCATCAGGGTCGGCCCGAGCAAGACTGGGCCCTATTGTATATGGACGTCGATTTTTTATTATGATGTGAACTTGCAAAGGAGAATTTTTGACCTTTATGTAGAAGAATATATGAAATTGAATAGTTAAAATATATAAAATTTTGAATATATAATATATATTTTGAATAAATAATTTTTCTTTTTTGAATATATAAAATTTATATAATTGTGTAGTTCACGTTTATTAGTATTTTCGTAAACTAAACTCATAGTTTTTAAATTTTTTTATGTACAGGAAAAGCAAGTCGCTGTAAATATATCATGTGAATCATTCACTTCTGAAAATAATAGTAGCCCTTCTTTCATAACTCGAATGAGTTTAAGAGTTATTGAATTTTATAGTTAGTTTGATGCTTTTTTTTCTTCCGAAGTGACTAGTTTAAAACCTGAAATAACTGCATACCGCATATTCCGGCGCATAACGCGCACTCGTAATTTCTAATAATTTTTTTTAAATTTTCAGATATACTCTTCGTATAACGCGCACGAAAATTCGGAATTGTTAAATTTTCAAAAATATATTATAGAACTGCGAAAAAAGGAATATTTACTTTCGCAAATAGGAAATATGGATGAGACCCCTGTCATGTTTGACATGATCGGTATTAAAACAATTGATTTAAAGGGAGTAAAATCTGTCAACGTAACAACAACGAGACATGAGAAATCTCATTTCACCGTAGCCCTTTCTTGCTTAGCGGATGGAACGAAACTAAAACCTATGGTTATTTTTGGGAGAAAAACTTTTCCAAAAGGTACTTTGTTCATGTTCACGAAAAAGGCTGGATTATTTTATAGTTAGTTTGATGCTTTTTTTTTCCCGAAGTGACTCGTTTAAAACCTGAAATAACTGCATAGTCATATTTTGACGATATCATTTTGAATGAATATAATTTTGATGAATTCCCAATTTACAAAAAATATGGTATGAAATTTCAGAAGAAACTAGCTATTTTCAAAGCCCTTTTTAATTTAACATAAGTGAAAAATATGAATTATTATGTTTAACTTTTCATTATAATAAATAAATCGCCTGAAATTACTTTATCAAATTCAGTTTAAAAAGTTTTCAAATAATATAATTAAAACATGGTATCTGGGTAAATACCTCACACCATGATGATTCTAAAAAAAAAATTTAAAAAAATATTACATCCATAGTATGTGTACAAGGGATATCGTGAGTATTATATTCTTTAAACATAACTCAGAAACGTATATTTCTTAAAAAACAAATACGTAAACAATTGAATCAGAAAAATTCCTATCTAATAAAGGGGGCCGGAATAGCCTGGTCGGTAGGGCACTGGGTCCATGTTCAAAAGGTTGTGTGTTCGACCCCCGCTGGCTGAAGACTACCCATGTAGTAAATGGTGACTGATGCACGTTAAATTTGTCAGGCAATAAAGTCCTCCATGTTCCCGTAAAAAATCATACCTTTGGGGATACTGATCCAGGAGTTTCTGTGCTTTTTTGTTTCTTTTTTTTTTTGGATTGATTGAAAATTATAAGGCTAAGAGGATGAGCACTAGTAGTTGTAACCCATAGTAGTCGATCACAGAGGTGACTGGTTGATACGAATTCTACTCCCAGTTCGCACCGACCACAGAACTGACGTAAGATATAGTCAGTGGTCGACAACTCAGGGTAAGAATTCCCTTTCCGTTGTGCGAACCGAGGGAGGTTTTCCTCGCAATGAAACGTGGATACGGATTATTAGCTCAAAATAATCGAAACAATGAAATACTAACGAATTTTTTCATATTTCTCAAAGAATACTTAGAAAATTATTTTAGAAGTGTTTAAGTCATGCGCTTTCTCATATATATTAATTAAGTTAAAGGAATATTTTTGAATATCTTATTCCAAAACAATAAGCGAAAAGCTTGCGACTCCGATCAATTACGTTGATTATCATATGAAAAAACAATCGTGTACATACTAATGTAATTAAACTTGTATTATAAAGTAATCCGATTTTTTTAATATTATGAACAGTTGTTTAGCATTCTTTAATTATGGATCTAATTACAGTTGTAATCGATTACAGTAATCAACGGCCAACTCTGGTAGAAACCATTGTTTTAAAGTTGACAATACATGATTCAGCATTTTCAAATATCTGAAAGATAATTTCATTAATGTTTGCAAGCTCTTAAGTATAATACAAAGAATTTGTTTATTACGCATTCTGTGCTACTTAATTATTTTTTACTCATTATGCTAGCTAATATCTGAATGATCAACGAGATCGTGATAGGATAAGCGAACTACTTTACCATATTAATGTTTTTAAGGTTATATGAAACGATGTGTTAATTCTATTTATATTTATGATTTTAAAACGTGTTGCAAAAAAACTAAATAATTTTAAATCAACGCTAATNCAACGCTAATTGAAATTTTAAAAAAAAAACGAAATTTAAATGGAAAACAAAATTTAGGGAGAAGTGGTACTAATTCACTTTAAAAAAAACTTAATAAAACACCAATCTTACCATTGACGTCAATGATAAAAAGTTAAATTTGATGATAAGTTCTAATTGAAATAAAAAATGAGCTATGAACTAAAAAGGGTAAAAAAATGTGCCTATTCATTTCGGGGAATCGTAAAAAGATGCCATAAAATTGATACCAAACATGCTAAATTTCGGTAATGGGAACTACTGGCAGCATTGTAATTGGTTAAGTTATAATACGTACCAAATATATTCTTAGATAGGTGAAAAATATTCTATTAATAAATTTGGTGCCGATTACAGCTGCACAAATACTGTAAAGCATGCTGTGAAAGAACATAATATTGCACCTTACCTATTTTATATTGCTTTTACCCTCTAAAATATTAATTCTACAATAAATATCTTTTAGGCCTTAAATTTTATGTAGTTATTTGACACTTAAAATGTATTTGCTTAAACCATTAATTTAAAACAAAGAAACTATAAATAATAAAACTACATCTCATATATCCTTGCCCTCTGTCGATTGAAACTTTTAATATGTTATTGTTATTCAAGATACTATCCTAAAGAATTCAAAGTTTTCTTATTCTCTGTATAAATATTTTTCTAAATAATGTAAAAGAATGCCTGAACTTCATTTTGCTATCTGAACTAATGTATACAATCTTTTGCATCTACAGAAATTGTATAAAACGTTAAAATCATAATGTTTAAATTGCTTAAGTTATTTGCATTAAAAAATGGATATAACGAACTATTTTCAGAAAAACGTAATGTGTAATAAACTTACTGCTCCTGATAAAGATGAGTAGTTTGTGCGATAGGATCTTTTTCCCCAAGTCCCATCAACAATGACGGTGAGAAGAGGTATTCCATCTGAATCCACATCTTCACGTTGCCTTGCAAGTCGTTTCTCTTCTTCAGCTGCCTTTGCCATTTCCGATGTTGCAGTTTCTTCCCAAGCTTTCGTAAGATGCTCTTGCTCTTTTGCAAATCTTCGACTTGACATGCAGGGTACATTTAAATTTGAGAATAGTTCTTCCATGTTAGAAAATCCGCATCCTATTGCAGTGATTCCAAGAACTGCCGCAGTATTTATTGAAACGGATTCTTCATTTGTGTGCACAACATCCTCGAAATTGCACAAACGGCATTTGAATCTAAATGAAGAATTAAGACCATTCTTCATTTCAGATACTATTATAGCATCTTTTATTTTGCAGTCAAATGGGCCATGATCCTCAAATCTTTTTAGGTTTTGGATAAAAAAGGAAAAATCAACAAGCCTTCTCCCCATCACATTTATGCCAGCAGAAGCAACAGGTTTATCGGGATTTTTTTGGGAAAAAGATAGCAATTCTCTATTATTTTTCCTGAAAGAAATATATATATATTCCACAATTAAACATTTTTTTAATTTCTGGTTCTTCAAAACATTGAGAAATTAATTTCCAAAGACCTTACTTGGTTTTATTATAATTGTTGTTTAAATTAAAGCTTAACATCAACATATTAATGGGGGGAAAAATTAACCATCATTACTATTATTTCTTAATTTGGCATAATAAGAAATATTTAAGTATTTTTAATTTACTTTGTTTGATTATGCAAACTCTCTTAGCTTTATCTTATATTTAAATATTTGTTTAAAAAGTAGAACATTTTATATTTTGTAAAGTTTTAAACATACCCACGAAGTAAATCAAGATCATAATTTCCTGAGATGTTAATGCTTTCAGAATTAGTGGCAGCTGATGCACTAGTTGCTTCTTGGGAACGTAATTCCATTTCTTCGAAAAAAAAATTCCTGAAAATGCAAGATTATTTTTACTTTATGTAAGCGAACTTCATTTTTTAAATATTACAGATGACAGTAACATTTAAGATATAAGTATACTATAAGCAAGTTGATGTGTTATATATATATTCCCTACATTTATCATCATATCATATCAAAAATGTAGAGAAAAATTGAAAAAAAAAGAAAAAAAAATGGTATAAAGATTTATGAAAAGAGAAGAAGAAAAAAAATTATTAAAAAAATTTAAAAGCCGAAATCAAATTAATGAAAAGATCTGTATCAGCATGTATGTAAAACATTCAATTACTGAAATTTTTTAATAAAACAGTTTCATAAACAAAAACTTTTTCTCTCCCTTACCCATGAAATAAATCTAGAGTCTCATTTCCTACGACTTCCATATACGGAGAATTCGTCGAGGTAGATTCACCTTGCGAGGTAGTAGGCAATTCTTGAACAAAATTTCTGAAGAAAAAAAAAGCTAATTGTTAAAATTCTAAAAAAGTATAAAAATTTCATATTCATTGTAGTTTTTCAACATTTACAGCAATAAAAAAATTTAAAAAAACTTATGGTGGCTGATACACTGAATTCCTAAATTTTTTTTATTAATCTATATTATAATCTTTTTTTATGAAACTTACCCATTAAATGCATATAGAGGCTCATTTCCTGCTACGTCCGTGCTTTCAGGATTGGAAGAAGCAGGTAAATGGACGGTTTCTTGCGGGCTAGCTGTCAATTCTTGATTGTTATTTCTGAAATAAATAAAAAATT